CTATTAGATCACCTGTAGTGTCCTGTTTAAACCAAAATGGTGTTCACTTTAGCAGTTCTATATTTACATGCTGCTTTTCTGAAATGTGTCCCTTGTTGTTCTCAGGATGAGCAGAGTTCAGTGGCCATGCTGAAGAAGCACCAGATCCTGGAGCAGGCGGTGGAGGACTATGCTGAAACCGTGCACCAGCTGTCCAAGACCAGCCGAGGCCTCGTGGCCGCCAACCACCCCGAGAGGTACAGAACACAGTTACACACATTGGGCCCTATTTTAACGATCTAAGCGCATAGTCTAAAGTGCACACCCCAGGTGCACTTAGGGCATGTCCGAATCCACTTTTGCTAGTTTAACGACGGGAAAAACGGTCGGCGCGCCCGGCGCATGGTCTAAAAGGGTTGTCCCTATTCTCTTAATGAGTAATGGCCGTGGGCATAAAGTGCAATAAACCAATCAGAGTCTCATCTCCCATTCCCTTTAAGAGCCAGTTGCGCTCGCGCCATGGCAGATTTGCTATTTACACGGCGGAATTTGCAAGCGCAAAGACTGAACACGTCTCCAGAGATGAAACAGAGCTGCTCATGCACGAGCAAATAGGTAGCCTAATTCTGATACATGCAATGACTGTCCATTATGACATGTAGGCATTTTTATAGTTATGTAGCCTACACAATAATAATCTTTTACATTGTAATCCTTTAATTTTTAATATTTGGCATGCTTGTGTGCTGCTGTGTGTCCATGTGTGTGTAATAAGCAGAGTGTACGCGCGGTGTGAACCCTAACTCTATACTAACGCGCTCTTTAAATAACAAAAAACGTCTCGGGTTACTTATGTAACCATGGTTCCCTGAGCATCTGTTGGTTTTTTTAGATGAGACAGGACTGAAATTCCCTTTCGTGGAACTTCGAACTGCGTCCTCTAGGGGTCGCTATGGGGGGGGAACGCCTCATCGTGACCCGTGTCTGAAGCCTACATTGAAAAAACACCAACTTGTTGGGCCGGCGACAACCATGACGTCACTACCGTCGCAACTAGTACAAAATAGGCGCCGGTAGCGCACATCATCACTTCTTCGTCTGAAGCTTGTGTGCGCAGCATGGCACAAAAACTAGAGGACGCAGTGTCTCGTTCCCCTCAGGGAACCATGGTTACATAAGTAAGTAAGTACATTGGATCAATTACTAGTCTTGGCCTGTCACTCAGGGCTACCTC